AGCTCACCTATGGCGAGATTCCACATATCTGCCCCAAAGTCTGCAAGCGCAAAGGCAAACTGCCCCAAACGCACGCCAGCGACTTGTCAACACTCACAAGACACCACGACCATGGCGATACGCGACGGCACCATCCTCATCAACAACGGTAACCACAACCACAACCCGTAACCACGAACCAACCAAGCAACCAACCAACAAACAATGACAGACACACAAACAGACAGGCAGGCAGGCTGGCAGGCAAGCAAACAAACAACCAAACAAGCAAGCAACACCATCGCTTTGTAGACACTGATTTTCCATGGCACTTTGTCGCAGGAAATGGTGACCCTACAATGTTCGCATGCGGCTCAAGTAAAAAACAAAAACAAAAACGGCTCGGCCCATACGCAGAGCTGAAACGTTGGCCCCGCGGGACAAAACTAGGGGATGACTGCCGAGATTATTGCTTGCAAACGACTTAGAGCTTCTTGCAGAGATAACTCATCCATAGCCAAGCGTCAAACACCGAAGCGGATGCCTTCTTGCTGCAAGGAATCCTGGCTGAGAAAACTGGTGAAAGGCGGGGCGTAACAAACATTACGTGAGTGCACTAGTTGCTCCAAGGAGCCTGCTCCCATCAACGTGTCTGGGTGATTTTCCGCTCGCAGCGTTTTTCCGGCCTTCGCCTTCTTGCAGAAGGGGCACCAAGATTTGGAGAAAACCATGATGGGCTGCAAGGCAATCATCTCCTGAGATTGGATCAAGAGCACCACTGCAAGCCATGAACTCCTTAATTCTGCTCCACTAATACTCGCCTCCACCTTGGACTTCAGATACGCGTTGGCCTGGCTCGAATCATTGAAACACACGCCAGGGTTGAAGCAAGATGTAGCTTCCCACTTGAGTCATAATCAAAACCCGGCATTCAAATGGTCTACCCAGAAGCATGCAAAGAATTAGGAAACCGGATATCCGCAGCTATCTATGGATGGGATTATCCCCTTACTAACCTTCATCTACCCAGGTTTTGATTGTAGTTCACTTGAGTCGTTGGCGGAGGGCCTCACTACTCTCACGTACAGGGCACTAACAAACAAAGAACAACACAGGCCACAAACACTGCGCCAAATGACGCCAGGCCACAGGAGTGGACTTAGGGAATCGCAAATACAAACAAAACTACGGCCTCAACAGCAAGTACCTTACTCAAGTCACTTCCTCGCTTTTTTTCTCCTTTTTTTTTTCTCCGGGAGAAAGCGAGGACAGAGATCGGCAAACACAGATTTGCAAATCACCGCAAATCCGACAGTTGTGACATCAGCGCTGGAGAGCTTTCGCGGGTGCTTGGCAAAGTCAACTGGCTGTGGGTCAAAAATAGGTACCCAAAATGGAACCATGGTGAATGGAAACATGGACTAAAACCTGCGGTCCATATCCTGGTGGTTTAATTTTGACCCACACCCAACTGCCATCGCAGGCCTCCACAGTTTGTGCCGCCATGGCAATTCGCCGCGCCCGCACTCCGCGGCCGGCGTGCACCACCTGTCGCTCGGAGGTGGCCAAAGACCGCACGCTCTTCGCACAGCACGACAACCTTGAGGACCGTTCAATGGGTAGGGGTCAGAAAAAACACCACCAGGATATGAACCGCAGGTTTAGTCCTTGGGTCCATTTACCAGCGTTCCATTTTGGGTGCCTATTTTTGATCCACAGCCACATGATGTTCAACACCATTCGCTTGAGACTTGAGGCTCCGGGCAAAAGCAGACAGGGCTGCGCTTGCAAGGCGAGGGGCGCCGCTGCCCAAGCCTGCGCTCTCCAGGTTCAGGCCAAGCGCAGCAAAGCAGGAACCCTTCAGTCATGGAGCTGTGAGTGACCGCGCATCCGAGCAGTTGCATCCTGGAGTCTCCAAAAGGCATTCAAAGAAGCGCGACGCAACCAAGGATGGCGCTGCTATTTGGCAGCTTCTGCATCCTTTCGTGCGAGGTCAGTTTGAACGACATGTTTCCTTGCCACCCAGCGCAAGGGCGTGGGGCAAGTTTCCCACGAGTTGGGGCAGAATTCCGACTTGGGCACCTATGATCATGGCTCGTTTCACAGAGAGGGCCATGGGTCAAAATCCAAATCGTCCCCCAATGACCATCCCAATCCCCACTAAAGCAGGTTCTAAAATGGGCGGTGAATTCACCTACCAACCAACATGGGATCCCAAAACGGTTTTGACCCTACAGCCAGAGGAGCCCTTCACTGCTTTCGCTGCTTGCGCCTCGGTATGATCCCTGCGCGCGGTCCAAAGGCGCGCACACTCGCAGAGGCGGCGCGATGCCCCGGGCGATGGCCAACCGCGCCATGGCCGGGCTTAGAGCCAGTTACGTGCGTGTGGGGGCAAACAGCATGTGTGACATGGCACTGGGGCAAATATCACCGAGAAACGGCGGGTGAATTTTAATAAGGGGCCCTTTGGTGAACATCATTTAGGTGGGGATTCATGTCCACATGCCACGCGCGAAGCAAAAAAACAAATGGCCATCCTCAAGCACTGGCGCACACGTGGCTGCCTTTCGTTCTTCTCTTGTAAGTCGTGTAAAAGCTGATCTCACATCATGTCGCCCAGTGCTCAAGCGACTCATGCGTTGGACGACGGTCTTCTCGCAGAGCGCTGCTGCCCCGGAATGCATCGCGCAGGATCATTTTGGAGCCTGCCGGAGTGGTCAATGAAAAGGGGTCAAGCACATATGGCCATGGGTCAAAATCCAAATCGTACTCCCAGTGAACATCCCAATCCCCATTTTAGTGGGTGGTGCACCTACCCCAAGATGGTAACATTGGTTTTGACCCACAGCCATATGAGAAATTATCGAATCAACGGATTGCACATCATCTACAAACAGGGTAGGGAAAGCCCAGTTTTGGGCGGGTTTGGGGTGGTTGGAGGCAAGATATGTGGGTAGAAGGTACAGCTAAGGGCTGGGTAAGGTTGGGATTAGGCTGGGCTCAGGTCGCTAAGCGATAAAGCAAAAATTGCTCTTTCGGGGATGAACGAATTTAAAGCGAGCCTAAACCACCACTAAACCAATTCTATGCAGAATTGGGTCAACACAAGCAATATTTAAACACTGACAGCGCCTCGCAATTCACCCCCCACATGGTTTTGGAAGTCTGCGCATGCTCAGCAACATACTCTGCCCTTCCTTGTGCCATTGAGACACCCTGTACTTTTGGTCTCAGTACCCTGTCCTCCTCCAGCAACCATTGGCCATTGTCATCGACCATTCGGGCCCTGCCATCTTCCACTCAGCTCATCAGCTCATGAGTGCAAGAGCCCGGCCCAACGAGGCCAACTGCTAAACTGGCAGGATCGGCCAGCCCTTCACAAACTTCAGCTTGTCAGTGCCCCTGCAGAGAAGCAGCAATCTCTCAGCAAACTAAGCCACATAGGAATGACTGTGCCTTGCGGCGCACAGTCCTGACACCTACCTGCGGAAAATAGGAAGCCGGCCAAAAGAGACGAGCCCAGGTCTGGTTCCAGGGACGCTCACGTTGCATCGCCAAGAATGCTCCGCATGTCCAAAGCAAATGTTCTTGAGCGGACGTCAATTATGTGGCTGTTGGACCCCCAAAATGTGAGTTTTGCTTTTGGTCACCCTTTTAACCCACAAAAAGGGGCACCCTCAAAATGCTCCCCCCCCCCCCCCATGTCCCTCTCTTGAAGGCGTTTCAGTTCCGATGATTCGGCAGAGTGCGGCCTTGAGCAATTTCTGCGTTCTTTTGAACCCCCTCGGAAACCCTGCTTGATGCTAGACCCCGAAAAAATGCATGACGTTTGGGAACCATGGCGTGGCATTTAGCCTAGGCTGTGCCCGTATGGTGCCTGAAACGCTATTTTTGGACTTTAGAAGATGGACATTCCAGAACCCGGGGCAATAGTAGACAATATTTTCCGATCGCTGTTTCTAAAATGGGATACCGGGGGGGGGGGGGTTCTGGAACACACAGCGAAGCCGAGAACGGAAGTTGCAAACATAGAACGAGTGTAGATTGGGTGTGGATCCTTGTGAATGTTGGTTGGGTAGCTAGGAAGTTCAAGAGCGAGCGAGTTAGCTAACTGGCAAGTTAGCCTAGCTAGCTAGCGGTCGCGCGCTGTGTTAGGTGGTTAGCCAATTCAAGGGCAAGCTAATTCGCGCGATAGCAAATTAGAAGAGCTAGCAAGCTAGTCAAATACTTGGCTGGCTCTTTGGCTGGCTAGCTCGTGAGCCAGCGTGCTACTTGGAGAATTGGCTCAAATTGGTATACAGCTTCGGGTTAGGTAGTTGGCTCGGATAGCTAGTTAGCCAGTTAGCTACTTAGCTAGTTATTAGTTAGCTGGATCGCAAATCGGTTGGCTAGCAGCTAGTGTTGAAAGTTAGCTAAGTACATATTTTGCAAGTTCAAGAGAGCTAGCTGGCGAACTGGTCTAGCTGAGCTAATTTGCGAGCAAATCAATTGCTTCTTAGCTATTTCTGCGGTAGTTGGCTAAGGTAACTAGTCAATTGGCCGATGACAACGCGAGTTTTGGACGGTTGAAAGCGCGAAAGCCAGCAAAGGGTTCACCATCAAATGATTGCACGCATTGAGAATGAAAGAACAGTTTTTTTTTGGGAAGGGGACTACGTGGAGGCCCCTGTTTTTGCGCTAGTGCAATTGTTATAAACCCGTTATTGTAAGAACCATACATATCCTTGCATCAATAAGTCAACTCTTACAATGCAAAGTGCCATCTAACACTGGTTATGAATACAAACACACGGTCTCGGACCCAGCTACATCCTCTGAGACAGAATAGGAACAGGGAGGAAAATAGGAACAGCAAAGGCAGCTGAACATTCCTCTGATTGTTGGAAATGCAGTGCAAGTCTTTCGGCATTGCATTGTTTGGGCAGTCGGTGTGTCAGCCGGCTTCAGGAGCGCGGCTCTGACATGGACGGCTCGGAAAATCCTGGGAGAAAGTTGTCCGAATGGATCAAATCAATCAACCTAACCTGAGCTGAACGCTTACAGTTGTGTGCGTGTGGCTGTGTTAAGGGGACCCTCCCCAAAATGGTGGGTTTCTTTTTATGGCTTCCCTTTAAAACCACAACAACAAGCCGCGCCCTCAAACAAAGGACCCGCTGTGTTGCAATTGGCATGAAAGAAGCTCCGCAAGCGGGTCGTTCAAGTCCTGCCTAATCTCCACCATATTCTGCTGCGGCAGAACCGACACAATGTTCACCATCTCAGTAGGTCTTGCTACATTTGGAGATCTGCCAACGCAATTGACATGTCTTGCAACGAAAATCGTTTGCGACCATCGGAAAGCTCACGACTCACCACTTTGCTCAGTTTTGCTCACTTGCGACCTGACCTGAGACCTTGCGTCTGGGCTTTCGACTCGGCGCTCACTGTTTTGCCCTCGGCATGTCCTGACGCGTGAAGAAAGACGCAACTCGAAGGCGCTCGGGGCGCAAAGCCAAGACGCGCACATCTCGTTGACCCACTCGTTGCTGTCGGCAGATCGGTAGAGATCCACGTGGTCCACAATTCCTGTGAAAACCTGGAAGGCGCCGCCCGAACGTTGAATTGTGAAGTTAGGAGCGCGACAACCTACATCAATCTCAGATGAAATCTTCACTCCGGAAGAGGGAGGCCTAACTCGTTCAGTCACCTACCTTGCTCAAGACTACCGGCGAAATCAGCAGCGCTCAGGTTCTTTGGTCGCAGTCCGAGCGATACTCTTCATTCGCGAGGCGGACTAAGACCAGGGCCCAGGTCTCTCCCGGTCTTGGCCACCCACCTCTAAGTGACATCCAAAGTGAGTCACATGAACAATTCATCTCAGCGCCTCCAGCAGGAGAGCCCGAAGATGAAGATATCCATCTGGTCAATCCCCTGATTGCTTTGATTTGAACACGCCCCACCCCTTGCGTGATGTGCAACGCATGGCAAAGATCTCGGACAGAAAGCGCCTGGACACCGCGGCAAGTGAAGTGGTTGAGGGCCTCTGCCCAATCTTTGGCTGCGCTGCTGGCAGCTTGGGCCTGTAGTAGGAAATCAATCTGCCGCGAATTGAGTGCCCTGGCCGGAGGTAACACGCCTTCGACTTGCAAAAACACAACTGCATCTACCTGTCATCATGAGGCGCGATATGGACGGACGGCAACGTCCGCAACTACGTTTCATATCTGTGCCGGTGCCAGCTTCAAAGTCTTTGGAATTGCGGAGCAAGAGCGATCTGCTCTTCCAAGCTAAGCACGAAGACTCTCCTTTCAGCTCGTCGCAGAAGTCAAACAAATCCATCGGCCTCGTCTAGCCGGCCCCGCAGCCAAATGACACAAATCAGCTGCACCGGTTCTGTGCTTTGTGTCGCTCGCCGCACGAAGTAATTAAAAGTCTTCTGGCTAGTTCTTGCTCGCGCTGTGCGCACACACTGCAAGAAGACATTGCAAGGGCCCCCACTTCTCCGCGAGCCCTTCTTGTTGAACCTTCGACATCAAGTGGATTTCTAAATCTTGCCAACCGCTGATGCTGGGGCGCCGGCGGCAGCAGTTGAATCCGCAACCAAACTTTCAGATTCGCTTGCAGGGATGGCAGGCAAGGATTCTGCTGCCTGCTGCAATGCTGAAAGAATTGCCTCAGCCACGCTATGAGTTCTTCGCAGCTCGGTGCTTCAACGCATCTCCATCTTTGATCCTACCCGTTCCATCGGCAACTCTTCGGGCTTGTTTCCGCAGGGCCTCCCTGTCTCTCGAAACCTGACCTGCGTTGAGGGCCGACGCGAGCAGCCAAATCCTATCATTTGGCGCCAGGCCTTCTGCATGGTGGACCCACGACGTTGGCATCCTGCATGCTGCTTATGCATTGTGCTTAGTCAACCTTGATCCGCCTATTGAAGTGACAAATGGTCTGTCAACAAGTCCTGTTTTCAGCTTGCACCAGCCTTTTGCAGATTCCTTGGTGGAGCTATAGCAGGCTGGGTCAATGCGGCTGAAGCGGGCTGAGCGGAGCACAAACTGACGCCTTGATCGGAAACCCCCGTCCTGGGCAAGTCAGGCGTTAATGGGTCAGCATGCTGGAACTCAACTTAACAAAGTTGAGACACCATAATTGTGCGTTTGCCCTGTTGACTGGACCTCAACAAACGTCCTTCCCCTGCTGGCAAAAGCGCAGCCCAAATGCATTTTAGAGCATGGTGTTCAGCTCTATGCGTGTTGCGAGCCCTGTATCTATTGCAACATCATTGCATTCTGGCTCATACTGTGGACGGACCTGGAATAATGATTCCCATACAAATACCAACAAACAATGGTTTCCCCTGCTCTCAAAGTGGTGCAGGATTTCGTCCATCCACAGTGGTGCAGCATGTAAGGACGCTGCAGCTTTGCCCTCGCAAAGCCTGGAGATGGACAGCACCTGGAGGAATTGCCAAGACGAGTCGCTTGAAGAGTTTCTCAGTGAACAAAACATCAAGCTCATTCCCGAGTACTGTCGCTTCTGCGAATCGTGCGTCGATCCTAGCACTGACTCAATGGCTTCTTAGCCATAAACGCAGCCTGTGGTAACACTGGCAACAATTCAGCAAACACACCTCGTCCAGCCCTGGATCCCAACTTAACTTGGGCCTCTCCAAATCAATCTCAAAGTCAGTGCTCTGATCTTCTTTTCCCAGAACACCCCTGCTGGATGTTCAGCGCGCGATTATGTGCTACCACCAATGCCAAGGGTGTACTTGCGGGCCCACGACTTGCTTCCAAAAGTGCCAGGGCCGCAAAGCAGCGAGCTGAATTCTCGTTGGAGCTGATGAAGTCGTAGGACCTACGCCATGGAAAAACGGCACAACCCAAACGATATCTGGCTAGAACAGTGTGCAGGATCGGAGCTGCTAGCATGCGAAATTGCTCGCCGAATGGCAATCCAAGTAAGTGGATGTGTAGCAAGTGCGCAACGCGATGCTGAATTTAGTGGGATTGCAAAGTGGCGCCAAGAAGTTCCATCCTCAAAAGCGAGCGGTCCCGGAAACAACCCTTGAAAGTTGGAACCCCGCAGCGTGGGGACTGGTGCACTTGGCCTCTCTGCAGTGATGAGGGAAAAGCAAAGCCAGGGCGATGCCTTGCAGCTTGGCTGACTGCAAGCAAGCGCAAAGATTGCCGTTCTTGCTTGCATGCAAGGTGGGTTTCTGCACTTTGTGGAGCCCAAGGAGACACTGCGCGTCCGGGCCTCCGGATACAACTTGAATGCTCTGGATCCTGGGCCGTACTCGATCTTTTGCACCTTGCCAATAGGCTCGAGCGTAGTCGCTGCAACGCCGGGATCCATGCAAGTGTTGTTTCGCATTGCTGGGGTCCGCGCCACAGTCAAGTCCAAAGTTTTGGAGCTCTCGCCTGAAGCGCACAACTCCGTCGGACAGCGCTTTCCAAACTTGCGGGTCCGCGTTTGGCGCAAAATGACTGAATTCCCCGGCTCGCACATAAGCAACGCATCGACGGCCACCACTCCCAAAGCAATGGCGCGCAGTGCTGAGCTGTCTGGCCCAGACACTCGCGCGCGTGGCACCACTTGAGGCGAGACGTGCTGGGGCACACCTCGCAGCTCCCACGTTTCGCTTCAGCCACAACAAGACATTGCAAGCGACCACTGATGCGCCAACCAACAGAAACCGACAGAAACCGACAGAAGCTTCCGGATTGCTTGTATGTTTGTTCGTTTGTTTGCGTGTGTTAGTTGGTACTTTGCTGTGTCGGTTTGTCGGTTTGTTTGTTTGCTTGTCGTTCGGCAAGCAGACACACAAACCGACACACCAATCGATCGACTGACCAGAGACACACGAAGAGACAAACAAACAAGTAAGCCAAGCAAGGATCAAACAAACAAAGAAACAACACAAACAACAAGCAAACAACAAACAAACATACAACAAGCAACCGGACGACTGAACAAAAACCAACAAACAACCAAGCAAGAGCCACAAACAAAGAAACAACAAGCAAATTCGCCTCGGCCCCAGGACCGGGAAGCGGTCAGACAGCCTCCGGGACCTTTCCAAGCCCCACCCCGCCTCAAAACTTGTCCAGCAAAAACCTGTCCAACTCTCCAGAACTAGTCAAAATTCCCCAGCAGAAGCTTCTCCAATCCACACTAGAAACCAGCCGCATGGCAACCTTCACTTCACAAAGGACCCCTAGTGGCAAACGTGTGACGCATTTGTGGCCGTAGCGCTTGCGGAGCGCGAGTGTCAAGGACGCCCTCCAACAACGTCGCGCAAGCCTTGCGAGGGGTAGAAGTCCACGGCTTCCAAGTGAATCACTATAAGCTGGCAGTTCGCGTGCCAAAAAGACCACTCGTAGCTTCCATTCTGGCGCCGCGTGCCCACGTTCACCAAGGCTCTGGCCGCGCCTGAACAACTTCAGGCTGGCGGCAGACTCAGAAACAACACGCATCAACAAAAATGCGTTTGGCCCGGCGCCTCGCCCATCTCAGCCTTGCCCCTCGCACGGTCTGCCAGAGGCTAGCGGGGCAGCGCAAGTTGGTCTGTGCAGTCTAGAACAACCGCGCAATCCGACCTGCAACTGCAAGCCAGCACGCATTGCAGCACTGCGCTGACATTTGGCGCCTGAGGAGCCTTTGCCCATGGAGTCGATGACCCGGAAAGCGAACAGACGAGAATCTCCTTGCAGGAGGGTGCGCCGCATGGCCTCGCTGGCGCAACTTACAACACTGACAAGCAGTTCTCAACTAAACGAAAACTCAACTACCTCGCGCCTGCTCATCAGTACTTCCTCCAGCGCCGGGTCTTGCGCCAAAGATCCTGAGAGGGGTGGCAGGGTCGAAGTCGCGGCAGCTCTCGCGGCACCAGATGTCTACAAGGGCGTGCGACACTTGAGCCTGCTCCCAAGCTCTCAAAGTGTGGCGGTCGTGGATCTGCGCGTTTGTCCTCTTGCCTGTGCCGCATGATGTGGCGGTTGGCCGTCTTGAAGGCCTGCGAAAGAACATCTTTGCCCTCAGA